CCACATGCTATTAGCATGCCAAATACCAACAAAATGCTCCCTGGGTTTCATTAATGTTTAGCCAGAAGTTCGAAAATCTGTATATTAGCTGTATGTGTATGTGAGTATTGACCCGATTCAATCTATTTTTGACATACATGTATATTATAATAGGGAAAGGACTCTTTCCGAGTTGCAATAATATATCAGACAGATTGACCACATCTTGGGTATCTGATGGCTTGAACAATTATAGTCCGAATTTGACAATTTTTAGTTATAAGGTGGCACATCTTCGTGCAAAGTTTCATCCCGATACATTCGCTGGTGCTTGGTTTGTATACTGGAAATGAATGAATCAGATGTAGATTTTCGAACAGTAATATCGGTATTGAAATATTGTAATAATGTTTTGTACCAAATTTGATTCAAGTTGGTTGAGTAGGTCCGGAGATATGAGATTTCGCGAATTGTTGTGTGTTTAAGTTTTGTATCTTAATTTACAGATTTTTTATGGCCCGTTATCCGTTTTCATTTAAGGGCGTTTTGCGGGCATGCCAGTGTTCATATACAATACCAAACTTCTTACGATGCCAAGGAATATGTGTACACAGTTTCACCAAGATATCTTAATTTTTACTCAAGTTAGAGCTTGCACGGACGGACGAACGGATAGACAAACAGTCAACACGGTTTTAACTCGTCATCAATATTTATAAACGACAAGTATGTATAAACCTGATCATTTATATATGGTATAAACATATCTAGCTCGATTAACTTCAACATGTTTCAAGAGTATAATATTTAATATTTAGTGTGGTACCATTTTGCCTATAGTGTAGTCGGAATAGATTCCACCTTTTTTTCTTTATTCTCGTCTATTTATGCTGCACTCTACTAAAAATAGGTTCCATCAAGCAAATAACTACACCAATATTGCGACACTGCAACATTTTTGCGTCGAATATGATGCCTTGGTATACTGCGCACTGATTGAGACCCGAACATCTCCATACATTTTTCATAAGTAACAAACTATTGTACTTATGTGGTGTTTACAGATATTTTTCTCCAACAAAGCACTTAAATTCTCGATCCCGTTCATATCGGATTTTACTACCGATCGCTTAAAGCCCAAAAACAAACTAATTTTAAGCTAGTTATGAAAAAAAAGTACATGTATGGTAGTTTCGCAATGGTAGCCGCCATTGCAGAAAAAGAAAATCAGTATTGTAGAGAGGCGGAATCAGAAACCGCGTCCACAGAAAGTCGTTAATCGAAAACAGTATGAAAATTTGTGAAATCGGATGATACTGCCACAAACCCTATATATAATGGATATATTAAAATCTGCTAAAAGTGCGATAATTCACTTTCCAGGCCCCTCGATACCGAATATGTGAACCCCAATGCCAAGGTGACTTTTTATCGAAAATATCGGTCAATCTGTCAGATTAGTCTTTAAATTCGGAGAAAATATTTTTATGATAACAACATGTCGTTGTGTCAGAAATGAGTTAAATCGGTCAATAAATGATATCTTAGAAAAATTAATTGAAAGATATTACTGGTTATACTATAGTTTAATGTCGAAAATGTGTGACGTCGGAACGGATTAACCCAGTTCCCATTTACTACATACAAACTTTCATTATTCTAACATTTTTTATACCCAATATATCACTCAGTGTATAAGCTATCTTTATAAAAATAGCGTGGAAACATGTTCTCAAGTATTAGTATTGTGTAATACCAAGTTAATGCAATCAGTCCAGATCTTACTACGGTTTCCTCATTCGCTCAATATAATAAATTTACCCGCTTTATTGAGTTTATATCACATATATCTCATTTGAGTTATGATGTAGTAATGAAACTCAGTGAGCCTATGACCTTTGGGTCATTTGAGGGTTGCAAATAATGCTTTAAATAATAATTGAATTAACATTTAAATTAATTTAATTTTATATTTTGTAACCTCGAAATCATAATAAAAAATAGGTTTCAAAGTTCTAATACCATATACCGGAATAAAAAATTTAAAATAAAATAAAAAATAAAAAAAAATTTTTTTTAATTTAAATTTTTTCGCGCTTGCATACTTCGAGTTCTAACATTTTGAGCTACATCTCGTACAGAGTTATCATATTTAATTCTCTAGAGCAGTGGTCGTCACTCGTACACGTTCAAACGATTTCTATTTTATCAATTTTGAATTCTGATTTTGGGATCAAGACTTAAATTTTCAATTTTTAATTCTTATTTTGCAATGAAAAATTAAATTTTCAATTTTTGATTTAGATTTTTTTATTTTCTTCTTCCTGTTTTGTTCTTTTTATTCTTAGTTTTTAAAATTAAAATAGCTTCGAGCCACTGTACACTTGGTGAGCGTCTCAAAAAAAAAGGAGATGGCTGGCCCCGGTGATTTGGTCGCTAGAGGACATCTGAAACAAAAAAATCAAAAAGATTATTATTCTTTGAGGTTGTCATTCTGATTGAAACTATGATTAAAACAATTTCGTTGAAAAATAAAAAAATGGTTGACTTCGAAAAAAGTGACATTTTTCTTAAATAGAAGTCTACTACGAGACCCTCACGTGTAGGTGCTATAACTTCGTTAATATTTCAATTTTCGTCCTAAAATTTTTACAATGCATTGTTAATATATGGTACTTTCGAGTTTTCTAAACCAAGTTACCAGTGTACTACCTTAAAACTCCAACTGGTGCTGATCAGTTGATTTAAAATTTTTTTATTTTGTAATTTTTTTTAGTTTTTTGACACAAAATATTTTAAGAATTTCAGACACCAAGTTATGAAAGATTTATTTGAATGAAAAATTAAATCATCTACAATATTATTTTACATTTATACATACCGATTTGTTTTTACAGATTTCAGATTATAGACAATTACAAATAGATAAAATGTGATATAATTGTCACAAATGATTGCACAAAATTTGTTGTCAAACAAAAGGTATTTACTTTTGATTTAAACTTGGCGTATTGAAGATAGCTATACCCGAAGATTGCACTTTCAAGAAACTGTTTTTAAGTTGCTATGATCTTAAACTTTGTACCAACTCGATAATCAAGTCAAAACAGCTTATCGCATAATTTTGTGAAAAAATCGGACAATTAATAAATTCCATAAAACGTGAATAATTGTTATCTATAAAAAAGCATACAACTCTATGAAATATTAATATTCCATTGTATAAACAAAATGATATCAAAGTAAAAGCATATGAATCAATTTTTGCACAAATGTCTGTAGAAGAATAGTAAAGTTGAAAAAAGCAAATTTCCTTTTTTATATTTTTCAATTAAATTATATATTTCTTGCAAAACTTTTAAAGATACGACAATTTGGAGTTGAATCTTGAATCTCTTGAAACTAAGATTGATTATCATTCGCAGCCTACGTTAACATATATATTTAATGGCCTATAAGCGCTACTACCTTTTGAAATATATTTTTACTTGTCATGTCTGCTTGGTTCGATTTTGTTCATCTACAATGTGTTTAAGTATAAAGTTAAATTTGTTTTCACCAATGCGAAATGTATCTACAATTGTCAGACAAAACAATATTAAGTAAAATCAATCCAATTCGTAAGCGAGGATAAATAACAGACGTAAAGAAAAAGTAACAAAAAAAACCAGAAAAAGAATGGTCAAAAGAAGGCTTACCAATTTGTTTTAAATTAATTTGTATCTACATTACGCTTATATAAAATTATAATTGAAAAACAAAAATTAACTAAAAAATAAACCAAAGTGATCAGAAAGAATACAGAAATATGCCATAAACACCAAGGTCAAACTCTCAAATCAATTGTTAACAAAGTCTTTCCTTTTTCGCCAACGTATTTTTTTTGTCAAAAGAATCCCCAAAAATATTAATAGTACGACATTGTTGGGTTCTCTATTTCTATAGTTTGGGGTGATCAGAAAGTTAAGGTTATTCGAAAGTATTTTTTCCTCCGTTTTTCTCTCTGTATGATCACAAACTATTACCTCATTTTATTGAATTGTTGTTAACCAGATTTGGCGACTATAAAAGAGTATATTTAGGTTTATAAGGGCGATTGTTTTAACATAAAAATTTGTAATTACAGTTATAACTTCTATAATTAAAGATCTAAGAAATCGCGTTTACTAGATAAGAAAGATGGGTGGTAATATTATGTGAAACATATAGTTAATGCCTAAAAACTGAACGGCGAAAAGATTTATCTTCTTCTACTTATGTATGTAATGTATGTATATATACAGTATTTGACAGAAATATTCATATACAGATAATTCATAACATAACTCGTACCAAAAGGCTTTCACATCGAAGAAGCACATCGATATTCGGCTAATATCCTGATGGGCAATATATAACTGGTTGATTTGCTGCAGCTGTTATGACCCTGGATTGTTGGTGTTGTAGCGTATACCTATAAGTACGACATCAACTGTCATCGAAATAACTTATCGGAAGGTCCAAGAAATTGGTTGTTTCGACGGGGTCGGACCAAAGAGTGAGGGGTGCAAAAGTGAGTGAGTTTGGCGGGGCATGCAAAGAGATGGTTAGTATAATGCGGAAAGTGTTTGCATGAAAAAAATATGTTTAGTATGTCAAAGGTCGCCATTCACTGGAAGGGAGTCAATGTAAGTGTTAATAGCTCTTCTGCGAATGACGATCAGTACACGACTGAAATTGCGTCGATATATTGCTGAACTTCGTCGACGTATCTTAGGCATATTCTCTTGATAGGAACATCAAGGCAATTCCCCTTCAAGCAAATGACTGCAAAGTCGATTTCTGCGAAATAACCAGTTTGAAGAATAGTGCATTATGTTCCTTAGCCAAAGCATGTAGGGATCACTATGGAGGTGTTCAACGAGGAACATCTATATGCATGCTACTATAGTGCGGTGTTCTCAATTGTCTATCTCTCATTCTTTTGTATCCCGATGCATCCAGTTGATCATAAAGAGGAGGTAAAAGAAATTTCCTCTGGTGGATGGGGGTTACTTTCGAGATGTAAAAGTTGAACAGTAGCGGGAAGAGGAGACCACCCTTCCCTGTTTAATTCTTCTCAGCTTAGAATTTTTACTTCGAATAGTACGGGTGATTGTCGATCACTCAGACAATTGATGGTCCATCTTTTCAGTCTTGGAAGAAGCGTTGAGTGTCAAAAGCTCCAACGCTACTAGGATGCTCCTCTTACAGGAGGGTTTTTGATTTAGGCCATGAGTTATCTGGGCATTTCTTGTAGTGGTGCTGTGTACTTTAAGTGAAGCATGTTGGTATATGGCTATTCTCAGATGGTGTGTGAAGTCAGTAGTAGCAAGGCCTCAAATGTCTGTACTACCGGGAAAGGATAATTATCGCGCGGTAAGACACATATCGTCTGGGCCGATGGATTTTGACGATTTGATTTTAACACATTGCGCCTTCTCGTCGGTGAATGCAAGTGGTGTGAAGTTATTTGGCGTTTTTCGAGTAAAAAATATTTTTTCTTTTACCGTCGAAGGGTGCAATATAAAGTGTTGGCTAAAGTAATTTGAGCACCTCTTTGGCATCGAATTGGATTTCAACCCGGTCTTCATGTTTGTCAAAACTCACGCGTGGTGCGCAGGCTGGAATACGTCGGAAAATGATACTAACCGGAGTAGGAATTGCACTTGACGAATGTAATGTCCCGAACAATTTAGCTCTGCTACACGGAACATACTGTGAAAGGGGCCAGGAGCTGCGTTATGATCTTCGCATAATAATATAATGGGATGAAAGTAGGGGTAGACTAAAGAGACTGGAGTCATTCTGAATAGTTGAGCTCTTGGGACAGTGGAAGTCTATTGTTGGACACTCATTGAGATTCCTTAGCCGGATAAAATCTGGAATAATTCCAAGTATATCCCATCGCCTTATTTAGTATCCAACTATATAGGCATGGTACAAGTATATTATTAGAGGCCATATATTCTTAAACAAACCACGGCTCTATGATGCTATTGTTGCCCTAGATATTAGACCGATTTTGGATTTTTGCTCACAATTCATGAAATCAATGATTTTGTAAGATTTGTTCTCATTTATTTTTAAATATTTATTTTCATTTTCTATTAAAAAAATTTTAAACATAAAACATAATAACAGATATATTTATAGTGTTAGTTGTATTATGAAACATATGGTAACATCGAAATAAACAGATAAAAATGTTCAAAAACATATGTTATATTTCAATTAAACTCCTTTTATGAGTTTTTCTTTTATAATTTTTCAGTTGAAAATCACTTATTAAAGGCCGGCAGTAATCTGCCATCATGTGAGAAGCCCATCAATCTGATCTTTACTATATTTTATTAAATTGTTATATGTACTCCGAAAGTATTAAAGTTTCATATTTTGATAAATTGGTGCTTTATGGTTACTTACGAAATTTTGAACTATCGCCACAAAACTTCCAAGCTTCACTTTACGGAACAGTCATAGCTTTGTTAAAATCCGTAACTTTCATGAATTTGGCTAAGGAACATAATGCACTATTCTTCAAACGGGTTATTTCGCAGAAATCGACTTTGCAGTCATTTGCTTGAAGGGGAATTGCCTTGATGTTCCTATCAAGAGAATATGCCTAAGATACGTCGACGAACTTCAGCAATATATCGACGCAATTTCAGTCGTGTAATGATCGTCATTCGCACTATCGCCACAAAACTTCCAAGCTTCACTTTACGGAACAGTCATAGCTTTGTTAAAATCCGTAACTTTCAAGAATTGCCGTATTTAAAGGCCTACAAACACTGCACCCTTCCATATCCTACGCTTTGACCAATTGCTTTATCATTCCTAATTTGATCACGTATTAAACTTCACTTAGTGTTGTATGTTTTAGAAGACATGGTAAATCAGTAAAGCAATACTGGAAAGCATTGCATCTTTCAGCAAGATTTTACTCCAGCACATGCTTAGAAGTGGCTTAGAAGCAGTATTACTGGCTGGAAGTTCAGATTTAAATTAATTGGACTACAGTTTGTGGTCAGAATGGGAGAACATGGACTGTGAAATACCCCACTGAAATTTGGGTCTTAAAAAATCTTTGGTTCTTGCTATTAATCAATGGCCGAAACTTTTAATGGCTTGTGTAAAAGAAAAAAGTGACCAATTCGAATAAAATTTGGACATCGCTCAAATAACATATGCTCAAATTGTAACAGAACTTAATAATAAATAGATTTTTTACCGCTATTCACTTCACTGGTAGACTGCACCAATTTCTGCGAATTTGGTGACATCATTTCTTTTGAGATTGCGAATTGTTTTTGAAACGCTAAAGTGCTAGACTGAGTCTAGATATATTCACGGTTAATTTTTATTAGAACTTTCATCATATTTTCAAAGGCATGCATAACCCTAATCATGACCCGAAAAATAAATTTTATTACTAACAAACCGATAATTGATCAAAATATGAAATATTCATTAACCATAAAAACCAGAGCAACAAACTTTCATAAATAAATTCGTAATCTGGAAAACATCATTTGCTAATACCATGATCTGACCGATACTTAATCACAAGATTTAGGCTGTTGAGTAGATTATCTCACAAATCTGCTCGTCACCGAGGAGATTTGAATCTAACCTAGTCGAAGTCTCCTTGTGCGACTCTGATTTAGCACCATCTATTTGTCACATTTGTGTTATCACAGTAGATTTGACACTACAAAATGTTAAAGTAAAAAAACAATTAAACATACAAATAAAATAAAAAGTAAAAAATTAAAGCAATATCAAGTAAATAAGTGAAAATGACAGAAAATATTATTAAAAAGAGGAGAGTAATGTAGATCCGCTCTAATAGAGTTTCGGCGAGAAAAATGCCACTGCTTCGATCGTCTAGTTATTGTTGTTGTTCCCCGCTTGGGTGGTGAGGTTCAGGATGGGGGGTCACGACGCGATTCTACTATAGGGAGAAAAGTGTTAAATGAGTGGGGTTCATTGGGCATGCAAAGAGGTGGTTAGTGTCATGCGTGGGCACATTGCATGCTGGATATATATTTGGTATGTCAGGGTCGATTCTGAATAAGTAGAAGTTTAATCTGCTACAGTACCCAGAACGAAGTTGAGCAAGGGTCACTCTAGATTCTCGTGGCACTCGAGCTGGTGGTTTGACTACAAGTACGCCACTCACTGAGAGAGAGTCGATAAAGGTGTTAATGGATCCACTGTGAACGGCTGTCAGTGCATGTATGAAGTTTGTTGTGTCCGAAGTCTGGTCGGCGTACTTTTCGATGTCATCGACGTAGTCAAGGAATGACCTCTTGATGTTGCAAACGACTGCAGGGATGGTTTCCGCGAAAAGTTTTAAGCTCCTTGCGGGGAATAGCGAGAAAGATCGAAGAGATAGCCGGTTACTTTTGAACACATGCCATCGAATCCATGGCCCGACGTCAATGTCGTGCAACCATCAGCGTACGAGGTGATGAAAATTCCCTGGTGGTTGAGGGAGTTTCGAAATGTAGAAACTAAACAGTAACAACGATGACGTCCGTAGGAATGGGTAGTGCTGTGAAGGAGCTCTCGGTAAATTCTGTGACGCCGACCCAGTTAGCTTTGTTAATTTAATAACAATAATTTTTTTTGGTGGTGCGAACGATAATTCATGAGCTAACTAAAATGTTAATAGTTTAGGTATAAATGTGTATACAGATATGTCAATCTTTCAACAAAAAAAAAAGGTTTAGTTACCCCGAAAAAAGTCAAAAACTTGATTTTGATCGGCTTATGCAAAATCGTGTGCGAAATTTCAAATCAACATCTCAAAAACTGAGGGACTAGTTCGCGTATATGCAAAGGGGCAGACAAATGGTCATGGCTACATCGAATCAGTTCGTCACGCTATATATGGAAAATATAATATACCCTCTTCAGCGTATAAAAAACTGCAGAAGTTAGCTTTATTTATCCGAAACGAATAAACTGAAAAAAGGTGGACGTACATACATCTTTACGTATTCATATAGAATTTATATGGGTAGAGCATAACGATTGACTAATAGTATAGTGAGCTAAAGTGAATTTAAAGATATTAATACCCTTGGAATTCAGCCTTCAGGACAATGTGTATTCGAAAATAAAAACAAGAAAAAATGTTAACTTCGGTTCACCGAAGCTAAAATCCCCTTCACAAATACAACCGATTCCATACAAGAACTTGATTTTGATCGGTTCGTTTGTATGGCATACAAGTATAAATGCTTTAGTGGTCCGATCTGAACAATTTTTTCGAAGATTGTAACGTAGGCTTAAACAATAATCCTTGCCAAATTTCATGATGACAAGATGTCAAATAAAAAAGACACAATTTTGATCCTTCAGTTTGCATTGCAGCTATATGCTATAGTGTCCGATTTCGGCGGTTCTGACAAATTACCTAATTTGTGTAGGTTATATATCTGGTATGTAATAAAATTTACATTGATGTGTAATTACAACGTGTTGAAGGGTATATTATGTGTGGGAATGTGGCGAGGATATAGAATAAATTTTGATAAATTATTGGAAGCTAAAAGCTCTACAGCTAATAACTACTTTATCATACTAATATTAATGAGAAAATGTGAAAGAAATGGCACTTTCGAGTTCTTCGCGCCCTCGGAAAAATATCTAATTTTAATACGAAAATCTTAATATACTTTTAGCATGATGACATTGCTGACAAATAGTTTTGTATCATGTCTACTAATTTGATTTGTTTATTATACATACATATGTACATGCGGATATAGAAGCACTTCTTATTTGTTTTATTTTTTTTTTTTGTTGTGTAAATAAATATAATTTTGAATATTAGCACTGATTAATATAAAATTGCATTATAGAAGCTGTAATGTAGAGTTAGTTTAATATAAGTTTAAAATTCATTATAAATTACAAACTAAATAAAAATTTTAAGCTTGACATCGGGTACTATTTCGGAACAGTTATTTCTCATCCTCAAAACGCACTACGCAAAAATTATATTATTCGTTCAATAAAAAATGTTTAAAAATTTACGAAAAAATTAAGCTGCAATAATTATTGCAAAAATAGTCATCAGTTAACTTTTTGTTAAATTCTATTTATTCACACAATAAAAAAAGGTAGTATACTAAGAAATAATCAGTGCAACCAAAACTTACTTACAAGTTGGTTGAAAAGTTTATGCGCTCGAATAGAAAAATATTGTTTTTGGTACGAATTATATTTGTTTATTCAATATAATCTCCTTTAACTTCAATACACTTATCCAATGATCCTCTAATAATTCATGCCATCCCTATAATGACTTTCAGGAAGCTCTACAAAATACCCGTCTACAGATGTAATAACTTCTTCATTCGATGAAAAACGCTTTCCATGCAGGAATTGTTTCAGGTTCCTGTGAATACGGCAAATGCTCAAGCAACTCGTACTTTAATTCGTTGAATTTTGTCATTGTTAAAACACCTTGTGAGCAGGTGCATTGTCTTGATGAAAAATTATTTTTTTGTGCTGCAAACCAGATCTTTTCTCACGAATTTTTTCATACAGCTGATTCAAAAGGCTTCAATAATATTTAGAGTTGATTGTTTTACCTTTCTGCAAATAATCAATCAAAAAAGTCCTTTTGCATCCCAAAAAACTGATGCCATAATCTTCTTTGCTGATCGTTGTGACTTCACCTGCTTTGGAGCTGAGCAACCAGCTTCAGTCCATGGTAAACGTTCTAGTTTCAATTTAAGAATCCAGTCTCATCCATAGTTATAAAACGACGCAAAAAATATATTCTGCTTAAAATTATCTAAATTATGCTGAGAAATTTGTTTTCGATCCAGTTTTGGTTGAATTGTTAACATGTTCGGCACTAACTTTCCAAACAGCTTTTTCATATGTAATTTTCCATGTGAAGATGAAGTACTCGTTCGACTAAGATGCCTATAGAAATTTCACGCTTAGTCAAACTTGGACCTTGACTAACAATATAATGAACTTGCTCAATGATTTCTGGTGCGGTTACGGTTTTTGGTCGTCCTTCACGTGGATCGTCTTCAAGCCTAGTACGACCGTGTTTAAAATTGTTCATAAACTTCCTTTTTTTAATCCTTTCAAAACAAAGAATGTAATCACTGCGCGGTATTCAATTTTTTCCATATTAAAATGTGTTCTCACGACAGATGTACCAACTTGTGAAAACAAAAATTTGGAGCTGGTAGCACTATTTCTTGGTGAGAGCAGAAACTTTTCAACCAACCTGTATTTTGCAAACGAGCCGGAAGAAATAAAGAAGAGAGATTATACCCCAATTGTACGAAAAATATACCTACATTAACAGTTTTCGAGTAGAATTCTTTGAATATTAGAGGGCCCCGGGCGAGCGTAAGATAAATAATCTGTTCAATCCAACACCATAGTGTGATTAGTCCTTTCGTGAAGAACTTATTTATGCATTGGCTGCCTTCGGTGTCACTTCAAAAAATTATCCCTCACTTTCGCATAAGACTACTTTTTACATTTCGTTGGCAGCTGCAGTTAAATGACAGATGATGCCGGGGAGTTTTTCCGCGATATTTCCAAATTAGTGCCTTCTGCAGTCAATTAGTGTTTCAGCGTAGGCATGGATAATATTAATTTTATGCCCTTGCGTGGGAAACCTCACTATAAGTTTTTCTTCATTTTTAATTGAATAATATGATCGCGAAAGTAGTGCGAAATAGAGGAGAGGGCACAATAGACCCTGGGTCGCAGTGCAAACGTCATATTCATTCTATTCTATTCTATTACTAAGCCGAAACCTCTCTATCACACCATACTTACCATATTTTTCATGAGTCTTTTAAGTAACATTGTTTCAAAAGACAACATCAAAAATATGGAAAGGATTTACTTTTCGTGTTTATAAGGTTTAAGTCTTGATAGTTACTCTTTACTTTATAGTAAAACAATGGGTTTGGAGACACGACATGATCTCCAACCTTTTACCATCAGATTGTATTGACTATGTACGAGTCAACATACTATACAAGAAGAAGAACAAGAATTTTTTTTAAAACCCAATGACCTTTAATAGAAAACTATCAGGCCATGGTCGAAAATCCCAAAATGTGATGAGAATTTTCTGAGAGAATTAGCAGAGAACGGAAACTGATTTCAAAAAAAAAAACCTTAAATAACTTCAAAGTAAAAATCTGAATTGTAATTTTACATTCCAATTTGGAGAAGTTTCGATCTATTCACCCACCAACTATTACTTTTGCACTCAACCAACAAGACGACAACTGTGCCTTCTCTACAATCTCCAATATAGTTTTGAATAAAATTAATTGCAAATGTTTTTCTCATCTCATTTTACAGTCATAAAGTTGTTGGAACAGTACATATAATGTTCAGTCCGAAATGAAAATGGAGTAGGTAGCGCCAATAGTGTAAGCCCATTACCAGCGCAACTGTTTCGCACAGCATTAAATATTATATTTGCAGCCTCTTGCAATTTTTTTGTGAAGTTTTCTTTCCCCATTTCTTGTTCATCCATTTATACTAAACGGGGTACCATTTAAATTAAAAATAAAGTTTCAAATGGAGTAGTCATCAACCTTTCGCCTGAATTGTATTTAATATACCACAATTTTTTACTATTAATATTGGGCATAAGTTACTGATACGTATGTTTGGTGATATTCACTTCTTTGCAGTCTGCATGTGGTGTTATAGAAAGCATCAATAAATCAATTTTTATCAATATTTTATACATTATAATAAAACTATTTAAAGACGTATATAATTATTACTTTAATTTTACTTACAAGCATCATGACACTTATACATGCAAAATATTTACTTATATTAGCAAAAATTGGGCTTTATAATTTCAACATGCTTTCACTGCACAAACTTTTGACAGTTCAGCGGTTAGTCTCATGCACTTTAAATTATTTTAATATATTTTTTCACACTAGATAACCTTTAAGAAAAAATATATCCAAATATATCAACAATAAATCCAATGTTTTGATTTAATAGTAGAGCGCAGACTCTACCGTAAGATACTTTTTAATTCGCTGGAGTGCTGTCAAAATTTTAATTTTTTATAACATTTAACAGTGGTGCCACCTTTAGAAAGAAATACAGATTGAGACGAACACGGATAATAGAACAAAATCGAATCGACGATAAAATACCAGAATCAACTAGACAGCGAAGTTGTAGTTGCTAGAATGTTCTGGTTTTATTATAGATCTACAATACTATATAACGGCTGTCGGTTTATGAAGCAGACACAGTTCTTGTTAGAATTTATCCATGGTTAGAGTACTGCGGTGTTAAGAAATATTGAGATATAACTAAGAAGTTGTAAATTCGGATAATGAGTAATAAATCGTTGGGCTATTGGAATTAGAAATTAAGATAAGTGTATAACCAATAAATTGGGACTTTTATTTAACAATCAAGTGATCGAACTCAAGTGAGTTAGAAGGTAGACGATTTATCGAGAAATCCGTTAGAGTTTTTTCATAGGAATTTTTGAAATCCACCGCTTAATTGTACATAATCAACAGTTGTTTTGGTAGCTTTGTAAACTATATTAGGTTGTTTTATACATATATATTTTAATCACTAAAGCTTTTCTTAACTGTGTTATACAAAATATTTAAAAGTGCTTATTTTAAATTTCCTGGGGAAACTTTAGTAAACCATCCCATTCAGAGTTAATAGGAATATGGTTAAATAGAGGAGATTCTTCAGATAAAGAATATACACATTTATAGCCGGCGGAAACTTAGAGTTTTCGAGATATTTGCATTTTAAGTTGAAAACTTTACGAATTTTATCTTGCAATTTCTCGATTTATAGTTAACTTTTCTTTCATATTATGCACTTATTATACACTAACACTTCGCTACATTGTTTACACATATTTATTTTGTATGCATTATTATATTTGCTTTAAATAAGCATTTTATTTTAAACAATTTTCGCTATATGCACCATAACAAATGGGTTCCATGTTGACAAAGAATAAGTTTTGCCATATCCAAACGAATGAAAGCAATCAAAACAAATAAATAATAACAAAAAATACCACAAAGATTTTTTGGTTCTGCATTGGCGGCCGAAGGCATTGGTCGTTTTTCCTTTCGCGTACTACTTCTTTCGCATTGGCGGCATTCGGCCGCGCTTCAAAAAAATAGCCATGGCCGATCCAACAAGGGGTTATCCTTATTCTTTTCGCGTTCTACTGCTTTCGGCATTGGAGGCTTTCGGCCGTACTTCAAAAAAATAACCCTGGCCGATCCAATACCGTGATTTATCAAGAGAAGTTAACGTAAAAAACTATGGTTCCTGTATTTGGATATAATTCTCAATTATTATTCATCTTAATGCAAAATATAAATATATATATATGTCTTTAAATTTATAATAGTCATTGAAAAACTTATTATTTGTCAAACTGGAACCCATTTGTTATTCTGTGTGTAACTAAAATTGTGTTAAAATTAAAATGCAGCGCTCATCAGGCGGCTTCTACTGCAACCAGTATTAATAGAGCAAACCCTACGAAAGCTCCCCCTAGGAGGCTCAGCTGCTTCGATTCGGATGACACACCGTAAGGTTGATGGCGCCAGAACTAGCGATGAGATGCTGGTGGATGAGGAATTAAGACCTGGTCGTACATATACAGTACATAGCTTAGTGGATGACTGCAGAAGGAACATGCTGCCCCTTATTAAACAGCAAAGTTTTAAAATATTCTGTGAAAACGTCTTCTTAACTCCAGACGCAGCATGGCTGCCCATGGCTCTGGCCAGAGGCAAGACTGACACAGTATTAGCTATTAAAAGATCTAATGGAACCTATACGACCAGTGCAGAAGAAAAAGCTACGACATTTCATTATTATTTTTGTCTGGAATTGGTACAATTTTTACTTTATTACTTGTATAATGTAGAGAGTTAGTAGGTATTAAGAGTATGAAAAATAGTAATTCGAATTTTCAAATTTTTTTTTAATTGCTCAAATGGCTCGATGTTTAGTTCAATATTTATTTTGGAGCCATTTAATTTTGGATTGATTTTGCCTAGTCTTGCTTAATTGTATGTTTTGTACAAGTTATGTTTTTACATTAAATAAAAATGTAATGTAGTTTTGTGTTTATCAAAATTTGCTGTTACATTTTGTGGCTGGTTTAATAATTTTGTTTCTTCATTCATATGTTATATTCTTTCATTCGCAATTGCTTTAACTGCGTGGTTTGAGAATAAATATTTTTGGTAGTTTTGCATGAGATTTTATCAATTGGCAACACTGGTATGGCCAGGAAATCGATAGATTAGTTTTGTACATTACTAAATTATACCGATGCTAAATTTTTGCTGCTGTCGTAAACGGTGGCTTTATTTTGGGAAAATTATTGTATTGAAGGTATAAGCTGTTCTTCGGGAGGAAGCTGAGAAAGAAGTAGATATAGGTTTACTAAAGAAAAAATTATCGTCCTTGTAAAGTGGTATATAGCTTGATTTTAAAATGTCTGAATTGCAATCCTCTTTGCTATTAAAAAAACAATTAGCAGGTGAGTGCTCATATATTATGTATTAAACTCTTTAGGGAGTATGTTCTCATTTCAATTTGAATACAAGAACGAAATTTTCTTAATGCTTAGGGAAGTTTTGTTTCAGTTTGTATTAGATCTTAAATGTGAAGATTGTACAGACAAGGAAAAACGGTTTTCGATATACATACATATGTACATCCCTACCCTGCTATGAATAATGTAATTGATTCTGAAAATATTTTTCTTCTGACAAACGGTTTATTTTACTTTGATCATTGCTTAGAATATTTTTTTTATATTTATTATTAGTATTGTAATACTTATGTGTAAACAGGGAAATTTTAATGTAATAGAGGTTCAATTAGGTTAGGTAGGTTTTAGCATAATGCATTTATCTCGTTGACAGTATGAATTAACATGTGGTACACCATATTTATTATACCGTGAACGGGGCACATTAAGATGTCTACGAAGTTTGTAACACGCAGAAGGAAACTTTGGATACTATCTAGAGTATATATATAAATGATCAGCGCGACAAGCTAAGTCGATTTAGCAATGTTCCGGTCTGCAAGGATGAGAGAGCGCTGTAAAAGTTCACATTTTTTTTTTCTAATATTTGACAGTGGTGCCACTAAGGAAAGAAATACGTTTTGAGATTTTAATGTATTTCTTGGGAATTTTTCGGTTTTCATATAAAAGAAAAATTCACATAATTAATATTAGTTTAACAAACTATAGGCAGTCCAAATATATGTACATATATATTTTAATCGCAAATGATTTTCAAAATTAACTCTTAAAGATCAATTTAACAAAATATTTTAATATTTCAAAACACTTACATGTTTTAAATAACCTAATCATGAACATTACTTATTTTTATATACTCAATAAACAAACAAAAAATTCATTTTTGAGGCCTCCTTAGTTGGGGGACCTAAACTACGAGTATACATATACCATATCTTTTGATAATTTATTATGAAGTCGAAGTTTACAAAACATTTGCTGGGAATTCTAACCAAAATATGTAAATCCGTTGACAATTGGTACTGCTAAGCAAATTAATACTCTGCAAATAATACTCAAAACTATATTAAATCTCTTTATATAAAGGTAAGAAAAACACTCAAGTCACAAAAAAATCGGATTTCACAAATAACCCACATATTTTTTAACTTTTATTTCCACTAACACTTCACTAATTCCTTTCCACACTTCTATTTAATATTAAGGGTTGCAAAAATAACTTGAATTAAAATTTTATCTTTTGTTTAATACATTTAATTCAAACAATAACAATAGGGTTTCATTCTAACAAATAGTCAATGTTACCTTATCTACATATTTTACAAAGGAACCAGAGGGAATAAAGAAAACATATAATACTCAATGGTAGGAAATAAATACATTATCATTAGTTTTTCGTAAATTCCTTTCTGAATGCGCGGCCTTTAGCCGCGCTTCAAAAAAAAAAAACTGGTCGGTGGTGCTTTGAATCCAAGTTCGCCATTCACTGGGAGGATGTCGGTGAAGATGTTAATAGCTCCGCTGTGAATGGCGGTCAGTGCATGTCTGAAGTTAGTTGGATCCAAAGTCTGGTCGGTTACTGTTCAATGTCGTCGACGTAGTCAAGGAAGGACCTCTTGATGTTCCTGAGAGGCTACAAGCAGACGACTGCAGAGGTGGTTTCTGCGAAAACATCACAGCAGAAACAGCTTGGTGACGAACTCGTTATGTTCCTTAACCGGAAGTATGCGGGCCTTACTTACTGTGTAGGTGTTCGACTGTAGGCATCCAGTGATAATCCGGAGTGCAGTGTTCTGTCATGTCTGAAGCTTCTTCATCTGCGATGCACCACATCCAGGGACCATATCGGTGCAGCGTAGTTTAAGACCGGGCGGCCAATTGTCTTGTATATGTTGCCAGCAACGTTTCTTTGTCTTTTACTCCCGAGCTGTCGACAAGCGACTTGAGGATTTTGTTGTGACTCTTTACTTTGGCAGTTATCGCGGTCGTGTGAGCAGTGAGCAGCCCAAGCTGTCAAATGTAACACCTAAAATTTTAGGGATATTGACCGTCAATATCGCGCATACGAGGTCATGAAAATTCCCTCTGGTGGTGAAGGGGCTTCGAGGTATAGAAGTTAAACAGCTCAAGTCTTCAAGTGTCTTCACTACTTCGGTAAGAAGAGTTATCGGACGATAAGACTCCCCTTTGTTGTCGGGTTTCTCAGGTTTAAGTAGTGGGACCATTCTTCCGACTTTCCACATATCGGGTATATGAAGAGTGGTCAGAGACAGGTTGTGGACCTTGGTGAGCTAGCTCACGCCTGTCGAGCATAGATGTTTTAGCATCAGCATGTTTTTTTTCCATCAGACCATTGGATTCAGACGATTTTGTCTTGTTGATGACACTAAACTTCCCATCGGTGAAAGTAAGTGGGGGCAAGTCTTTTGGCATTTTGCGCAGCCGTCTGGTAACACATCGTTTGGTCTTGTCTGTCGAAGGGTGAAATGTGAAAGTTTTTGGGTCCGTGGAGGCATGGTCATCGAATTGAATTTTAACCCGATCGTCATGTTTCCTTGGATTAGACAAGGCCTTGACAGTAGTCCAAAGCTTACTTACACCGCTGGAGAGTTCGCTTTTGTTGGTTTACCATTTGCCGAATTTCCAAATTGAGATCCCTAATTCGAGGATCCCAGGGATTGCTATGGCGGAAGGTTTCGCGCTAGTTGGCTGAGACAGCTGCTGCGGCTGGGAAACTGGTGCGAAGTTCTTGGATACTTCCAGCCAGTATGAAGCGAGCTGTAGCAGCAGCGATCACCTTGCGGAATTGACACTCGCCAACGATGACGTCCATAGGAATGGGCAGTGCGGCAATTCCTACAAAAATGTGTTTTGTCATAGCTCAAGATCAAATTTAGACCGGACTGATCCATTTCAACTGCGCTAAAACTGAATTAATAAACAATTTTTAGTTGCATTGGTACAACCTTTTTTGTAAGGCTTTTATTAGCTTCACCTGTATGTTTGTATGTACATATGTATGTTTGTAACTGTTTAGTGTCACTGAAACTGAATGGTAATGTGACATATGAATCAACAGTTTGATAGACACTGCCAAAAATAAAAAATAAAGACCTACCATGTTCTGATTTGAATAACAAAATTACTCAAGAACATCCCTAAAAAAAGTGAAAACCTAGAAAAATATTTTAAAGCACATAAAACTAAAAAGTAAAAAATAGGGCGTTTTCAGTAATGCAAAACTGCGCAGTTTGCATGAATCAACCGGTTCGATAAAGCATGGCATCTTTGCCCAAATTGAAAGTTCGGAAAAGCATCACTATCGTAGCTGTTGCACAAAAACGCTCAAACCTTGCAACATTTGAAAAGTAGTTGCATGAAAAATTACAACCGAAACCAACTTTAATTTATGTTAAATATAATTTAGTTATTTTTGTGGATTTTTTTTTTTTAATTTTATAGGATATACCAGAGAGATTGCGTAAAGTACTCCAACGCTTTTACGTTTGAAATAATCCGTTTGACTTTAAAGCTATTCGCCATTAATAAATTTCTTTTTTTTTTTTACACGACTAATTCTCTTTTTGTACCTTTTTTTTTTTAATTGAAATTGTTCACTTTTTTATGATTGAAAATGCAAATTTCAAATGTTTAGGAGTTCCATGCAAAGGCTTCAGTCAGAAGTACAAACTGCCCAGCATTGCTAGTATTTACTGCATATCAGAAAAAGCTCATAACTATAGTTTAAAGAAACTAAGAAACACGCTATTAAAGCTCTTCAAACTAAAAAGGGAAAAATAATTCATAATATAAACTGACAACGCCCGGTGTGTTTAACGTGGGTACCTGCTGATGACAGCCTTACCCCACGGCGCTCAAAAGCATAGATCAATGCGTTGATCAGCGCCCTGAAAGGCATTTTTTAGTACTGATTAGTAGTGTGGAATGTACACACTAACCACCTTGGCAGGGTTCGATGACCATCTAAAACCTCTGCCAGACTTTGGCTCCGGCACCCGGTTGTAATGCAACTCAACATTGAACTGACAAAAGTCAATTCTTCCCGCTTTCAGGTATCAACCACAAACACCACAATACTCCCCGAAGAGCCAGTCCGCATGAGCAAGTTGGAGCGAACTCAAAGAGCCCCTGGACTGGTAATCAAGGGTTGAGCTCTATAGATAGATAGATATGGATAGAGGTATGCACCGCGACTTATGGTCTATTTTGCCCTCACCTAAGTCACAACGACTCGTCTAGCCCCAGCATATAGATGAACTCTAGTATACTGCTAGGTGCTAGTGAAGCTAGTGACCACACCATTCATACAAGAATCTAACTCTAATTCCCAGACCCAAACTGTTCGGCATTCCGACTAGTGGAGATCATACCGCTAACATCTAAACGTCCGTCAGTCCAGCTAATCCCCATAGCCCGAGATCCCTAATGCCCAAGTACATTGGGCACTCCATGGAAAATAACTCTCTCACACACGCACTTATCATAAATGGCCTCCAAGTATTCCGGAATGACCTTTCACAAGATTTTGCACATTTCTCCGTTCAAACCATCAAAACCTGGAGACCGTTTAGACCTGACCAAACCATAGGCCTACCCCAACTCACCATCATCTAATGGAGGGACAGGTACCTCTTATGCTTTAGGTACCCGAACCTTCATCCTAGGAAAAAACGCTCCTAACAAAGCCCCCGCACACTCTCTCCACGTTGATAACATAGTGTCACCAACGCGAAGAGAGGTGAAATTCGCCCTCTTACGAACGGTCGTTCCTATTTTCCCCTACAAAATTCCTCCACTCCTCTTATTTAATTTTTACCAACATATCCTTAAACTCCCTCATCGCACAACTAAATTCATACCTAAGCTGGGACAGCCGTCAGATTTGGGCCGTTGAAACTGACAGTAAAATTGTGAGAAAAGCATGTTATGCTTTGTAACATATTTTTCATATATCGAGCCAAGCCGCCCCTAATAGGTATATATGTATATTCCAAACCATTCAAGCTACATCATCTAAATTTGCACAGGGCAAATCCTTTCCAAAGCTCTTGTGACAGCGTTAAAATATGTGATAACCACGCCCACTCCCCATATAACGGTGTTTGTTAAAAACTACCTAAAGTGCAATAAATCAATAACTAAATGCATCAGAGCCATTAAATTTTACATATGGGATGGCACAAGAGAGCTCAATAGAAGCCGGTGTCAAAAGTGGACGATGGTCGTGGCACCGTCCATATTTAGGTTGAAACCCATATCTTGGGACCTATTCAACCGATGTCAACCAAATTTGGTAAATAGGTTAATTCAGATAAAAACCATGCCTACATCCTATATAACACAATTATAAATTTCATCTGATTTTTTCACTTTCCCGTATACAAACCAAGATCTAATCAATCAGGGGTGTTGTAGAATCTGATAGTTGTCGGAATCAGAATTGAAGCTAATAAAAAAATGTAGTAGGTGTCATAAATTAAGATAATATTGGTTTGACGTTCGAAACAGAAATTGTATCGGTTTTGGGTGTCAGGAAACCAATTTTATAGGTTTTGTTATCAGAAACAGCAAGGGGATAGTCGCTGACAGATTTGAAATGTAAGAAAAAATTTTATATTATTGTTGCGATTTATTTTATCGTTATTTCTATAGGGACACAAAAATTAAGGAAAAAATCCAAATATTTTAAGAGAATTTACGAAACGTAATTTAACGCCCAAATGCGTCTTTATTCAGACGATAATTTTATATAAATAAAAAACGAAACGGTGCTTTTCTTCAAAAGTGACAATTTTCCTTTTTCGCCTTCGGCCGCGCTTCAAAAAAAAAAAATAACCCTGGTCGGTCCAACATCGGGGTGTACCAAAATTTTTTCCCGCAGAACTTTTTTTTAGCGTTGGCGGGGTTTAATTGGATCAATATCTTCTCAACACATGTGGCACTTCAAAAATTAGCCGAAATCGAAAAAACCAAATTCGCTGAAGGTAATGAGGGCCATCCATGCCGAGTCCTACAACAAGTGTATGAAAAATTTTATTGATTGTCGACATATATGTATAGCCTCAGGAGCCTAGATTTAAATGGAAAATAAAGATTGGTATTCAATATTATAAAACGTTTTTTTTTTTGCCTGTCCGGATCAATTTCTTTTACAATCTGCGAGATGCCAGAATAGAAATTGCCGTATCTACAAGGTGCGTTCCAAACTAAACAGGACTTAAAAAAAAAGACAGAACAAGTGGTTTTATCGGCAAAATCAATTAATTTTATTCAAAATAGTCTCCTTCTGCTTTAATGCAGCTTTTTGCACGGTCCAAAAGCATGTCGAACGAGTGTTTTAGCTGGCCTCCACGTCTGCATAAGGCTTTCCTTTCATCGGCAAATGCATTTTTCCGAAAAGGTAGAAGTCGCACGGTGTCATATCAGGTGAATACGTGGAGTGGTTGATTGTTAAAATGTGATTTTTGGTCAAATAATCGGCCACAAGCGTCGATCGATGAGACGGCGCATTATCGTGCAACAAACGCTAACTTCCATCCAAGGTAGAATTCCGCATTAACGTTTAACGGACAATACCCTTGGAATCATAAAAACAAATCAGCATTATCTTCACTTTTGACTTCGGCACGATTTTTCGGCTTTCGGCTCATTTCTCATTTATGTCCTCACGACCACTTTGCAAACGTTAAACCACTCGTGCATTCTGCTACGGGATAGGCAATCATCGCCATAAACTTGTTTCATCAATTGAAACGTTTCAGTAAAAGTTTTACCAATTTTAAAACAAAATTTAATGTTGGCTCTTTGTTCGAAGCTCATTTTCGCACCGATGACAAAAACATACTGACACTTAAAACGCAATAACTTCACTTCTAATAGATGAAATGTCATGAAATTTTTACTGGAAGTCGAAAAAGGATAGCGGATTCTAACGCACTAGTCGACATATAAAGGGCGCCGCTAGAGTTTACTTTGTTACTTTTTTACTGTTTACTTTGGAACACACCTTGTATACATACATGATCCATAGAAAATCTTTGGATCTGTGGAAATATTTGATGGTTTGTGTTGGATCTGGTGAGGAATATATTTATTTACAATGGTTGATAAATGCAAATTATTAAAAAAAAAAATAGTGCAAAAAATTTCCACTTAAATGGAAAAAGGGCATACTATTCAGTCTCAATATAGTTGGAATTGAGCACTGTTTTGGAATGCTGAAATGGATCCGCTGTTACTCTTTGCTACACAACGTTATAATCTAACAAGGTTATGATGACGATTACTAACTTGAGGAATCTGATCATTAAATTGGTGAGTTAATACGAAGTGCATGCTCGAACCAATAAAGAGGAGATAAAACCACAAACGATCTTTGAACAAAACAATGCAAATAATCAATAAATATGTGCAGAAAGTTTAGTTAATTTATCAAATAAAATTGAGTTTCTCTACGTAAATATAAATATGCATATTCTACAAGTATATGTAAAGTTATTATTATAAATTATATTTTTTTATAAAAAAAAATAAAAAAATTATGTAACTTGAAAAGCTTGAGGATCATCTCTGCTTCATTATTCTCCATCGATAATACAGACTCTGTGAACTGAAAAATGAGTGGTGGTAGTTATTTATGCGCCGTTCAAATATTGTTTCTTATATTGTATAGCATCTGTTATATAACCTTCACCGAAAAATGTTCCGCACTATTGAAATGAGAAGAAAACTTTTCCGCCAACTAGGACTGAAACTAATGATGATATTTTGAATGCTAACTTCATTTACTTATGACTAAATCTCTCGATAAAAATTGGTTTGATCCAAGCCTCGTAAAAAAAATCGGTTTTGCCATATCATGTAGTACATAAATATAACAATATTACCTCAAATTGATCTGGATTAGCCTTCACATTGCCCGAGACAACCGTTTATTGTACTGTCCTCCAAAAAATGTAATATTTGCTTGATCGTTTTTTCTATAAATATATAATCAATTCATAACAGAATATTAAATATACAAATAATAGTAACACTAATTTTTATTTAAATTAGCTATTTATTACAATTTGTTTAAATATGGGATTAATATAAAGTTATTTTAAATTGTTTCTTTTAGAGTTGAATAAAAATCCCGTAGAAGGATTTTCGGCAGGATTGATTGATGAAAACGACATATTTCGATGGGAAGTTCTCATAATAGGACCTCCGGATACACTTTAGTAAGTTATACGTCTACATTCATAACTTATTCCATATAGTGAAATAATTTGTTTAAGAAATGTAAATTTTTTTGAAATATGGTTTATAGTCTCACATGATTAGAGCACAATTTAATGTTAATCATATTATATATTTTTTGTAATTTAAAACAATAAGGTTTGGTTAGCATCTAACAACCTCATTTTTATAATCTCTTAACAATTTGCACAAAGTATATTTTGTTCCCCTAACAATTTTTAAAACTCCTAAAATAAGACATACAGATTAAGATAAAAAATTGGTTTACTAATATGTATTGATTTTCATTATTCTATATGCAGTGCTTCCCTACGTATAAAGTGAAATAACAACAAGTAAGGAAGGGCTAAGTTCGGATGTAACCGAACATTTTATACTCTCGCAAAGTCAAATGGTATACTCGTTTGAGATTTCTTTGTGGATTGGCTGATATTTTCGGTAGAAGGTCAACTATAGGCACTGGGGTCCACATATTTAGTACTTAGGGACTTGAACAGTTTTGGTACGATTTAGACAATTTTTGGTCACAAGGTGGCATTCTTTAAATGTATTTTCACGCAAAGTTTTATCCCGATACAGTCATTGTTGCCTGATTTGCATAGTGGAAAGTGAAAGAATCAGATGGAATTGAAAATGGTGTTATATGGGAAATAGGCGTGGTTGTAGTCCGATTTCGGCTATTTTCGCACTATGACATAGAAATATGAAAATAACGTTATGTACCGAATTTTGTTGAAATTGGTTAAGCAGATCTCATGATATGGGTTTTCACCTAAAAGTGGGCTGTGCCACGCCCTCAGTCTAATTTTGAACGCGGTTCCTATAAAGTCATCTCATACCATCCCAGAGATAAAATTTAATGTCTCTGGCGTGTTTAGTGCTTGATTTATCGCGCTCTTAGTAGTTTTTAACAGTACCGTTATATGCGGAGTGGGCGGAGTTGCCACCCGATTTCACCCATTTTCACACTGTAGGTAGAGGTTCTAAAAACATTTGCTTCCAGTGAATTTTGTTATTATAGCATTAGCGGTTTAGGAGATATGCACATTAAACCTATTAGGGGCGGGACCACGCCCACTTAAAAAAAATTTAAATGCATTGCAGATGCCCTCCCTATTGTGATCCCGTATACCAAATAAGAGTCTTGTATCTTGTTGTGGAGCTTAGTTATGGGAATTTATTTGTTTTTGAATAATGGCGTTTTGTGGGCGTGGCAGTGGTCCGATTACGCCCATCTGCAATACCAACCGTCTCACGGTATCAAGAAACATGTCTAGCAAGTTTCATAAAGATATCTCAATTTTTACTCAAGTTAGAGCTTGCACGGACGGACGGACAGACAGTCACCCGGATTTCAACTCGTCTCTTCATCCTGATCATTTATATATACATAACCCTATATCTAACTCGATTAGTTTTAGGTGGAATAAACAACCGTTAGGTGAACAAAACTATTATACTCTGTTGTTGTTGTAGCGGCAGAATTCTGCCGAGTTGACAGTCCTTGGCCGGAATAAACCCGGGTACGTTCCGGTTACGTAGACCCGACTGTCGTGGGAACGGTATTATCTGTAGCAACAGGTTGCGAGAGTATAAAAAAGTTTAATTGAAATATCAAATTCATTTATTCAAACAAAAAAATATATTATTAATTGCTAGCTATGGCTGGGGGTACTGACACTGGAACAGGCAACATAAAGTTGGCCATGTGAAAAACATGACTCCTCCAAATTCACACCGCAAACGTGAAGTGTTTGCGCCTTGTGCCTTTTTGATGGACATCGGAAATGATAAACGCACAGGATATTATAATCGTTTGAACTCAAATGGCATATCAGTTGGAATCATAGGGATAAGCAGATACAAACTTCTCCTTTTGATTTAGTAGTTCTATGATCTTAACTCAATCAAATTTGGCAATAACATTTTCATGGTGCCATTACACAGTTTTGGTGGATTGATATTTCGAAATAATATAATCAAAGAACCAACTATCAGATTCAAGCAATGCGGTGGCATACCAGCGGGTTTCAATGAATTTAAAAATTCAATTGGATAATTCATTGCCTCATCTTGATTTATAACACTGTCAGTTGATTTATATGTCGTGACTACACCTGCCAGTTTCGCTTGAATTTGAAAATTAATGGCATTGATTTGAATGTTCTTCGGTGCTAAAATGGCGCGTTCTCTCAACCAATCATGATTTCTGTAATTGTGTAGAATTTTTGGAAAAACACATTCAATCAATTCATCTATCGATTGCGCAATTGTACACAAATTGTTCGGTACAGCGATCAGTCCGTTGGAACTGTCGATTTGTATTTTGCCATCACCCATTTCTAACAATTGTTTCAAAAAGTTGTGTAAATTTTTGTACATATCTTCAAAGAACTGATGACTTCAAACAGGCATTTATTTCATATATTATATATATTATTATAATATATATTAAGTTGATCAAGGAATGACAGACAATATTTGACGAAAATCCCCTGATAGTAATATCAAAGCATCACCAAAAAGCTGTTGATTACCACGTGAATCTTGCATTGTTTGATTAAATGCTTCTAGGGATTTTTTAAATCATAAAATAATTGGCGTTAATCGCAGAACTTTTACCAGAGAATGTAAAATATAGAAAAGGTCCAACTACGGACCAGCGTGTGAATTGTCAAAACCTAACAAAATGCGATGAGGGTATTTCACCACAGTCGGCTCGGAAGGAGAAATTTTAACAGTGGCGCGTGAACAGAGTTGAGCATTGTATGAAAGTTATGCTCAGGAATTTGCATTGATATTACAGCCGCATGTTAGCTTATATTTTTATACGTTTATATGCAATCATATTCATAGATATGAAATTCATTTTCTGAATATCTATGATATCATGAAAAATTTATTACATTTTAATTAAAATATGCTACTTCAAAGGAATATTTGCAGTTGCTTTTTAGATATTGCTTATGTTTGATATTATGAAATGCTTTCATATAAGTACTTATGTATGCATATGTATGTATCTGCTATGTTTTACTATATACATACATAACACACTAACATAATATCTTAAAAATCTTAATATATTTAAATAGTAATATATGCCAATCACACCTTTCATGATTTAAAGCTTACATACATACATATGTATGTACTTATGTAAGTACAATTCAAATTCAAATCAAGTTATTATCATTTATCAGTAATAACATTTGCGCGCACTGCTCTATATGTACATACATACATATGTGCTTATGACATTGCTACACAAATAATGGATACACAAACCTACATTCATATATTCGTAAATATGTCACTCGCAAAAACTACAAACTTGTTCTACAAAAACAACAATCGTCACAAGTCAATATGTCAGCCAAATAGGCGAAGACCAAATTTATAGTAAATCACACAACAACAACATTTTCATTCATGAACGCAGGCGTACTTTCAACAAGCAACCTCGCTTCATTCATAAAAACAGACACCCTCTCATCTCCCCGAGCATGCGTTTGCCAACAAGCTTCTTTTCGCGACGATGGCAAAAGCTAAAAATCATAAATTGAACAAATTTCTGATATTCCCTCTGGAAGGGAAAAGTTGCAACCACGCAAGCCCACAAAACACAGAAAAAATTGACAAAACTGGCAACAAAGCTTCTTTCCGTGTCTCACAAAAATCTGCGTCAATATGTATGCATGCTCATATATAAACATACATATTTACGATGATTTGTGGGCAAAGCTGTTAGAGCGGCAAGGGAAGCGGTGACAATCGGCGGCCGTTCGTTAATATTTTTTCAGCACAGCTCGGATTTTCTACAAACAGCACAATGTTGTGACGCTTTGTCGTCGCGTCAGTCCTTCGACACAGTGACTCTTTGACAAGAAAACAAAAAACGTGAGCTTCGGCCATTGGTTGTCCGTGGCAACGGAGATTTCACATGAAACAATGAGTGTACATATTTACATACATACGATGCATATAGACAAATTAACAATTATAATGGGTACTTTCATATTTGTTTACATGCAAACATAATTATACATATATATTTTAATAAGAATATTTGTGACCGCTTCGTCTTTTCTTATCGGGTTATGTCAAGCAAGAGGTGTACAAAATCAAACCCAGAAATCTGACTGAACTGAAGCAGTCCATTAAATAGATAATTGATGCAATCCCGAATTAGGTGTCGCATATGCGTGGTTGAGAATGGAGGAATAATTAATTGCTTAAATAAAATAAAATTTTCTATACAATGAAAAAAAACTATATGTAATGCATTGACTAAAAAGAAATTTATTGCGGTTTAATTTTGTAGCACGATTCGTTAGCCACCCTGTATAGGCAGAATATCTTCAAATTATATGCAAAGTCGATTGCGCATTGTAAATATACGAATCTGTAAGCGTAAATTTCTTAACATTGAAATTAGCATTATTTTTCTCAATTAACATTGAAAATGCTCAATTCTGCTATTTTTCAGTCCCCTGATGTTAATTGTAGCCATTTGGTGAAACCGCTCATCGTTTTCAGTACCCCTTCCAAATGTGGTGAAACACGCTCATCTTTTTCAGTTCCCCTGCGAAACGTGAAATATTTTGATAATGTCCGCACTGTGAACCTTCTCTATGATATACGTTCTCTGCTTTTACCATAGCAGAATATTTTCGTATATAAAACATTCCCCTTTCTCAATATTCGTCCATATGCTGCGGGCTACCAATATACACTCGCCAGAAAAATTATCCGTACACCTCGACATGAAAACAATAAACTGATAAATTTGTGATCAAATAAATATTTTGTATAAAAATAGTATACAAAAGTTTTATTTCATATTTTTACTACACTTTCCATACGTTTTTTACTTTTAGACAAAAAATTCCTAGAACAAAAACTATACACAGTTACTTAAATTCAACGGAAAAAGTATCCGTACATATCAAAACGGGATATTTCCCTTGTAATATGGTGA